AACCAACAAGGTGGGACCTGAAGCAAACTTCTATTAAAAGAGCTGACACCTCTTATGTTTTTGGTTCAGACTCATCTTCAGGGCCTAAAGGCCTCAAAATATTTTGGTGGATTACCTAAGCAGATGAAGAATAATGCCAGGAGAATGGAGACTGCATGCAGAAGTATTCAAGGCAATAACTCCTCGGTGGGGCATACCCCAGATCGACTTGATGGCAACTGCATGGAACACGCAAGTAACAAGGTTCTTCATTCTTCACCCAGACCATCAGTCTGTGGGACAGGATGCTCTATCACAAGTTTGGGAATTCAATTCACTGCCTGCTGAAGAAAATCGGGAAGGAAGAACGAGTTATAATAGCCATCATTCCAGTTTGGCCCTGGTTTCCTCACCTTTGCAGGATGTACACTCAACAAGGGAGTGGATTTCTTGCACCCTGATCAAAACCATATATGGGAATTTCTACAAGCTGGCTTAGAAAAAGGTTTTAGTCTGAGTACCTTAAAGGTCCAGTGTTCTGCTATATCGGCCCTATGTAACTATTCTTGGGCTTTAAATCCCTTGATTACTAGGTTCTTTAAGGCTACTCTTCGTATTAGACCTCCTCAACACAACTATACACCTCCATGGGACCTTCCTTTAGTCCTAGATGCCTTATCTGAAGCACCATTTTCTCCTCTGGAAGCGTTGGATTTCACTTCTCTTACATATAAGACTCTATTTTTGCTGGAAATTACATCAGCTAGGAGAATCTCAGAGGTGAGAGCTCTCTCCTGTAAAGAAATGTATACTTAGGTGCACCATGACAGAGTGGTTTTGCGTCCTGAGCTAGAATTCCTTCCTAAGATAGTTTCTAATTTTCATTTGAATCAGAATATTGTTATACCTTCCTTTTTTCCAAGTCATTTCTCAGAATTGGAGGTCAAACTTCATCATCTGGATGTTCGGGAATATTTGATCAGATACTTATCCGTCCCAGGAGCTTTCCGTAAAACGGATCATTTGTTCATTATCCCAGAGGGCTCCAGAAAAGGTGTACGTAGATGGATTTCCAATTTCATCATGATGGCTTACATTTTAAGAGGTTTTTCTCTTCCAGACAAGGTTTACGAGGTCATTGGCTACTGCATGGGCTAATTGGGCAGAGGTCTCTCCTGATGACATCTGCAAGGCAGCAATGTGGTCCTCTCCTATGACCTTCATTAAACATTACAAGCTGGATGTAGCCTCTTCTTACACAAAGTTTGGCAGAAGTATTTGGGCCTCTGTTAATTCCGCATAATAAATTTGAGTGGTCTTGCAGTGATTTAGTGTGGTGTTCTCCCCCCTCCCCCCCAGTTTTTATAGTAAGCTTGGGTATTACCCATAAGTGATGCTGCCATGATTAGCCAGGAATATAGACATTTTAATTCATATTTACCTGTAAATTTATTTCCCTGGCTATTTATCGTGGCAGCATCAGGTACCTACCCAAGGTTTTATCTGAGCTATTCAATTGGACTGAGGTATGGAGGGAGGAGGAACCTTTAATGCCTACAGTCTAATTAAATGTTTAATTGTTTTCTGTAATGATTCGGCTGAGGGTGGAGCTATCCATAAGTGATGCTGCCATGATAATAGCCAGGAAAAGAAATTTACTGGTAAATATGAATTCAAATTTCGATATTTCTGTCCCTTAGGATGAAAATAGCACTGTGCATGTGCAAAAAATAAAAGGCAAAGAGGGAGCCGGCAGTGCTTAAATCCTCCTGCATGCCCCTACTTGCGGCATGCCACCTAAACAAATGTAAAACTACTAGTGACTGGGCAGCTATTGCTAGGTCAATAAAAGGGGACCTGACACAGGTTAAACTCTCCTGCATGCCCCTACTCGTGGCATGCCGCGAGTAGGGGCATGACACCTAAATAGCGAGCAGCGTAATGTAAAACTATATATAAATAAATCGGTATCTTATCTAGAAGTGATAGAGAGCTATGGTAAGATTACGTGTAACCGATAGTTATAGCAAAAACAATAACAATGTTGCAATATGAAAAAGTAGCTATTTAGATCAGTAACACAATAAGGCTGTGCTACTGATCTAAATAGCTCCTTTTTACACATACTCGTACCACAGCTCTCTATCACTTCTATATAAGATACATTTATATGCAATTTTAAATGACAGTGAGCTGCTCGCTGTTTAGACAACATGCCTCTACTACATGGGGGTATTGGCACAGGTCCCCTCTGTTCCCCCATGGTGGGGATCCCAAATAACTCAAATGGGGTGGGACAGTGCCTACCCCGCACACCCACCCATGACACGTGGGTGGGGGCTATTAATATAAACGGGGGACCTAGTGCCCCCCAGGTCCCCTCCCATGAGCGGTGGGCGGGAACCCTAATTAAATAATTAAACGGGGACCTAATGTCCCCCCAGGTCCCCACCCATGAGCAGCGGGTGGGGACCTTAAATATTTAAATAAAGGAGGGGACCTAATGTCCCCCTCAGGTCCCCACCCATGAGTGGCGGGTGAGGACCCTAATAATTAAAAGGGGGGACCTAATGTCCCCCCTAGGTCCCTACCCATGAACGGTGGGTGGGGCCCTTAAATAATTAAAGGGTGACCTAATGTCCTCCCTTGGTCCCCACCGATGACCGGTGGGTGGGGACCTTAAATAATTAAATAAAGAGGGGGACCTAATGTCCCCCCAGGTCTCCACCCATGAGCGGCGGGTGGGGACCTTAATTAATTAAAGGGGGGGACCTAATATCCCCCCAGGTCCCCACCCATGAGCGGCGGGTGGGAACCTTAATAAAATAAATAATGGAGGGGATCTAATGTCACCCCCAGGTCCTCACCCATGAGTGGCGGGTGGGGACCACATATAATAATGTCCCCAAGCCACTCCCCCCCAATAGAAGTACCCTACCTACCCCATTAACCCTAATAATAGTGAAGGGGGGCAATAAACCAACACCCTGTAAAATAAAATTTCATACTTAACATTAGATGTCTTCTTTCTTCTTTCCTTTTCTTGCTTCAACCCCAGCCGTAAAAAAAAAAAAAAATACACAGAAAATAAAAATCCATCATAAGAATCCATCTTCACCCAGCGAGCGCACCGCGCAGAATGAGCTCTGCAAGGCAGGGAAAGGCTTATAAAGACTACCCATGCCCTGCAATTTGACTTAGAGCCCTCTGTTTGATTGATTCCAAGCCAACCAATCAGAGTGCTCTGACAGGTAAATGAAGAGACTGACAACCAATCAGAATGTTCCGAGTCATTTTACACAGCGTGGGAAAGTTCTTTGGAATTTTCCCATGCGGTGTAATTTGACTCATAACACTGTGATTGATTGACTTGTTGGTTTAGGCGACATGCCCTGACTCGCTGCATGTCGCGAGTATGGGCTTGTGGGAGGATTTGAACTCCCTTTTATTAATATGGGGTTCATAGTGACCCCCATACTGATTTATATCCAGTTTTAAAAGACAGTGAGCAGCCCCTGGCTGCTGCTTCTTGCTGTTTAAGCAACATGCCCCTACTCACAGCATGCCACGAGTAGGGGCGTGTGGGAGGATTTAATCTCCCTTTTATTAATATGGGGGTCATAGTGACCCCCATAGGTTTTGATGCAGGGTGGGTTAGGAATGGTTCACTTTTATTACAAGGAGGGAGCTGGTAGTACTGTCGGCCACTTCTTTGGGGTTTTTTTTGCGCATGCGCAGTGTTAGTCTATTAAACAAAAGAACTGAAATGAAAACGAATGCATTTGGTATTTGTCCTTTTGTTTCATTTATAATTTGTATGTAGGACTTTCGTTATAGTAAACGAATACGAAAAAGTCTGGAAATTCAGACGAAATCATATTTCTACGAAAACTAATACACATGTCTAATAACAATGCCAAAAGAAGCAATATATACAAATAATATGATAAATCACAGTAACAAATAGACCTGCATTCTTCAGTATGATAAAAAAAAAAAAAAATCAACAAAAAAACAACAACTTTATTCAGTCGTGTGTAATAGGGAAGAGTAGGATTGCTTTTTTCTCTGTATTGCACCTGTTCAAATAATGCTTATCTTTCATGTTGAAGCAGAGTGCTGGCCCAGCTATTTCTTTGCTATTTATGTAGGTTCATGAAGCCGCAAACCCGCAGCCTCCTCTTCTTGCAGAAAGATTGACTGATCATCTGATACATTTGCTCAGAACGCTCTGCCTCACCAACAACCCATTCTAGTGGTGTGCTTCAAAAGGCTTGTTATTCAAATACCATTTTAATACGATAAGTGTTTTGCAGCTTCAATACATTAGGTAAAAAAAAAAAAAAATATATAATATATTCCATGTCTAAAATTGAAACTAGAAAGCAATAATAAGGGATGAAAAGTGCAGCTTTCTCCATGTTTTAGTAAAGCTTCACTTGGTCTAAGCATTTCTGTGTTTACATATGTTTGGTCAATAATAAAACAATTTGAGGCAAGCAGGCAAGTAAGAACTTAAAGTGGTGGAAGTGTCATGTCTCTGCGATTTACTCCATTGAATAAAATACAGAACATTACCTATAACTCGTGTTAACTTGTGATACTCTGTTTTCTTTTAAATTCATATAAAAAGATTTAGCAAATTACATCACAATCCAGTTCAGACAAGGAAAACTGGGCGAATGAGAAGGAGAAAAATAATCATTGTTTAATTTTCATCTTCTGAGGGAATTGACTCATGTAAGTCAGTTCAGTTCTTCAGTTTGAGTGCCATACCTGGCACCAGAGAAAAAAATCGGATGGAAAGGAGAAGAGGCTGGTCTTTTTTGGGGGAGTGGTGAAATAACTAGCTTAGTGATAGACAGCGCAATGAGCTGGTTCTCCTGTCCAATCAAGTGCTGAGAACAGAAAACAATAAAACAACTAGAAAAGCTACAATTTCTGGGGAAATTGTGTGAAGTGTTCTTGCCTCCACCAGTAGTCTACAACTGGAGTGGGCGGAGTAACTTATCATTTATATAGCACATTTAATTGCAACGTTGTTGCACAGTTACATTAAACCATACATTTATAAAAACATTAGCAGGTGTTCACTTGCTGCTGCATGGCACATCACTTGCTGCTGCAGCCTGGCACAGGTCAGAGTATTTTGGCGGTTGCCATCTTCAAACGGTCGTATTTTAAAAACTATAAATCCTACAGCGAAAAGCTTTATATTGTGAGAATCACAAGACCCATACCTACATTTTGATGCATAGTATGTCTCTGAAGTATTAAAAATGAAGGCACAGTCGCAGTTTAGAAATTGCACTTCAAATTTGAGCTTTGTAGAGTGAAGTTTCAATGAATGTCAATGGACGGTGTTAGTTGCAAACAAATGATTATATTGTGAAAACTATCAGGACTATGGCTTAGCCGTTGACATGTTTAGTGGCAGCAGGGATAGCTGAACGTTTTGATATAAGATTTGTGTAGGTGGGCTTAAAAATGAGAGAGTGGTGGCAGTTTAGAAATCATGTCCTGATTTTTCAGCTTTTGCCAGCTCCCACTCTAGCTTTGCCATTCATTCCTATGGGACAAATTACGCCACAAGAACGACGATATTCTGTGAACCATTCGGCGAAACGTTCCACAAAGTAATAGCAATCCGATCGGGAACAATCTGCACGTTTTGGTAAATTTTTGTCTATGTAGTGTAAAAACTGTGGGAGGAGTTAGGGTGGCAAATTTTGCTATAATAATAATAATAATAATATATATGTGAGATAACATTAAGTGGTCTTGCTATGCAAGAACACTTAATAATATTGTCAAGCAGGAGTCTTCTAAATACTTTGACTTCAACTGCTGAAGGAGACAGACATAATGGGCAGGGAGCAAAATGTTGGCAACCAGTTGCAGGATGAAAAAGTGTTGATTTCTACAATTATGCAATGGATGCCTCCATTACTGAGACTTGTGAAGGGGCTTGGATGCCAGCATCCTTCCCACAGCCTATAGACCCTGGCACAGAAAGGACTATTATCACAACCCTAAAACCTTGCCCCTTGCCCCTAGCAGATGCAGCCTACCCAAGCATCCAGGAGGTGGGCCACCTGGTTGCAGTATCACCCTGGTAGAGACCAGGGTAAAATGCACAACCTCAGGCAGGCTGAATAAAACTATACACCGGTTTGTAACTTAGGCAAAGCAGGTTAGACCTTTAACTGATTGGCAATTCAACACTGTATGAGGAATCAGGAAATTTTTTGGATCGTATCCGAGGTGATGTTGATGCAGCAGGCGCAGAAAGACTATCAGATCCAGATGGTAAAGAGGAGGTTGGAATCATTGGTAGAGAAGGGGTGTTTACAGCTTCTCTCCCCAGCAGCAGAAAAGAACCAGAGAGAGAACTTAGACGATCTCTCCCCTCAGCGGCAGAGCAAGTTCCAGAGTGAGAAGGTTTTTGAACTCTCTTCCTAGCGGCAGAGCCAGGGACAGAAGGTTGACAGCCTCTTTCCCCAGCATCAAAATTGGAGTAAGGGAGAGGAGGTAGCTGACCTCTCTCCCCAGCAAGAGGCATTTCTCTCAAGTGGAAGAAGGAGCTCTATGGAGAGGAAGTAGGTGGCCTCCCTCCCCACTGGCAGGGTGAGTTATGGGGTAGGAATACTGTCAAGATCTCTCCCCAGGGGCGAATTGAGCTCCAGGAAGAGGGTGCAGACAACACCTCTCCATGGCGGCAGAAAGAGCTCCAGGGAGAGGAGGTAAGTGGCACCTCTCCCCAAACATTATTGACAGGGAGCAACATGTTGACACCCAGCTGCAGGATAAAGAGTTGTTGATTTCTATATGTATTTATTTTTTTCATGGAAAACATAATATTAATAATCCAGAAGGAGCTCCAGAGAGAGAAGGTAGTCAACCTCTCTCCCTAGCATCAGATTGGGTTACACGGATAGGCGGTAGTCGGTAGTGAGAAAAAAGGATGAGCAATAAAACAACTACACTTCCACATAGTATTGTTCTAGATACCGTATATAGTCGACCCGAGTATAAGTCGACCCGAGTATAATTCGAGACCTTGAATTTTACCCCCAAAAAACTGGGAAAACTTATTGACTCGAGTATAAGACTAGGATGGGAAATGCAGCAGCTACTGGTAAATTTCTAAATAAAATTAGATCCCCAAAAAATCATATTAATTGAATATTTATTTACCGTGTGTGTATTTAATGAATGCAGTGTGTGTGTGTATATAATGCAGTGTGTGTTTGTATGAATGCAGTGTGTGTGTGTGTGTATGAATGCAGTGTGTGTGTGTGAATGTAGTGTGTGTGTATGAATGCAGTGTGTGTGTGTGTGTATGAATGCAGTGTGTGTATGTGATGCAGAGCCTTGGTGGGGGGTGGGCTTTTTTATTATTTTTTCAAATTATTATTATTATTATTATTTTATTTATATTATTAATATTTTTTTTATTTTAATATTATTTAATTTTTTATATATATTTTTTTGTCCCCCCTCCCTGCTTGTTAGCTCGCCAGGGAGGGGGGCTCTCATTCCCTGGTGGTCCAGTGGATGGGCTGTGTAGGAGGGGGCTGGCAGAGAGCTGTAACTTACCTTTCCTGCAGCTCCTGTCTGCTCCCTTCACCTCCATGCCGGTCAGCTCCCTTCTCCTCCACTGTAAGTCTCGCGGTATGACTGCTGCGCGGAGTGTTGCCACGGTAACCCATGGCAACGCTCTGACCCCGCGGCTCTCGCAAGATTTACAGTGGGAGCTGACAGGGGAGCTGACCGGAACGGAGGTGAAGGGAGCTGACAGGAGCTGCAGTTACAGCTTGTAATGAGCCCAGTGGTCCTGGTCTGTATTATGGCAATGTAAGTTGCCATAATACAGACATTGACTCGAGTATAAGACGAGTGGGGGTTTTTCAGCACAAAAATGTGCTGAAAAACTCGACTTATACTCGAGTATATACAGTACTTTGAACTGAGCTAATGAAGGAGACAGACCAACAATGATCCTGTGTGTTTACCCTTGCAGTGTTGAAGTGAGAGATAGCCTGGGTCATTGATTCTAGTGTGGGAGTAGCTGTAGGTTAATGCTGTATCTAGCTAGCAGTTACCGACAGAGGAACTTGGGACAAGTTTGAGTAGGAGACAGGAGTTTGACAGCAGGCATTTTGTAATTGATCCTAGAGTAAGACTAGCTTACCAATATAAAGTTGTAAATAGGTTTGTTTTGTTTTTTGTTTGGAGGAAAGAAAATCCTATTTTATTTTATTTTATTTTTTTCTGAAGGTGTTCAGTCCAGTGTGTGCTGTGCAAATGTACAAGCAATGAAGTACCGTGTAGTGTTTCTTAACTTCAAAAACAATAGGGGACTGGATTTCTCTTTCATATTTGGATCCAATCAATGTGTTAAATAACAAGTTTGGTCATAATATAGATTTTATTATTATTTAGTTCTCACTTTTTTTATAGCAAACCTGCCCATTATGCAATAACATGTATCAAAATACTCACTGTAACTAACCCATAGACCATCATTTTGCAGACAAAACAAAGAACATTTGAAAATAGAACAGTATGTAATGTAGTTAAAGGCAACACACACACTTACAGGGTTATTGTGTAAAGTAAGAATTGTCAGCAATTAAAAAAAGAATATGAGTGAATTTCAAATATAAGGCCAATGTAGCTGAGTTGGTAGCATAGCTGACTTGGAGAATTCATTCCTTTACTTTAAATTTTAAATGCACATTGAATTCACTTTAAATTTCAGACAATTTTCACTTCAGTAAATTACTAAATAGTGTTAGCAACAATATCAAAAATCAGCTCAATGCTTCAGTCCTGTCTAGAACTTTTAAAAAAAAAAAGGGAAGTGACACGTCTCTGGAATTGATATCAGTGACTAAAACATAAAAAATGTGTTCTAACTGTGTTTACCTTTTTAAAGCAATATTCTTTTTTCTTCTTTTAAATTCACCTTAAAGATTTCACAAAGTCATTAAAATACAGAATGACCTCCCGCACACTTTCAAATCTTCCCCAAGCCTAAAGTCCTTTAAGAGATCCCTCTCTACATACCTCAAAACAGAATGCACCTGTCATGGTTGATTATATATTTCCTGCCTGTTCTATGTTAAATTTTGTATTTATTGTGTATTAATATTGTTTTTGTATTTTATTGTACCCTATTGTATTAATACAATGTTTTGTGGACCCAGGACTTACTTGAAAACGAAAGAAATCTCAGTGTATGCTTCCTGGTAAAATATTTTATAAATAAATAAATATATAAAAATACAAGGCAAAGTCATGGCAAAAATTGCAAATGAAGAGGAGAAATGAAATCGTAGTATTGTTTCACTTTCCTGTATTTTTTCTCTTTATGACAGCCACATGCAAGGGACAGAACTTAACGATTGACAAGGTAGGTAAGATGGAGGTAGCCTAATCCAGGATAAAGAAGTAAGGATTTCAAAATGTAATTATATTTTTCACAACTTACAAATATATATTTGTTAAATATAGGGGTAAGTAAACATAATTTTTTTAAATATTAAGGAAAGAAACAATTCCCTTTAAATGCTCTTTAGGATGGAATGCAAACATGCTTTGACTAAGCAGAAGTTGTGTAAAGGCTTGATGTGAGCTAAATAACGTGTTGTGATTTATAACCTAAACCAGCAATCTAATTAGCAGTGGTGGAATGGGTTACAATAATCAGATATTTATCTGTGGTTTTCATTGATTAGTAAAGGTTACATACACTCGTGTGGAATAGATCTTATCAGGGTGAAACATTGCAACAAGTCGCACTTGACAACGTGTAAACATATTGCCATATTGTGCTAACTGAATATAACACTTTATTTAAATTGTCGGTTAAGAGGATAGTGCAAAATGAAGATAAGCATGCCCCTAATTCTGCTTTGTAAATTCTGAGTTTACAGTAAAGTCAATGCCTGTTTTAATTATTACATTCAGTATGAAAGGAATTTATTATTCCTATAGGAAGTAATTAATGATAATAAAAGTTGTATTTCTATTTATTTTATAAATATTGTTACAGAATATTCTCAATTAGGATTGGATATATACATATAAACAATTTTATTATCAGTACTGTAGAATGAAGTACAGAGAATATTGACAAGTTCTATATTTACAATAACCCCAGACGGTTAAAAAAATATTAATTCCCATGAGATTGATGGCAGTAGACTGTACAATTTAACAGATGATCCTGCAACTTCTCAAACCACAGCATCTCTCATTTCCAAATTTAGATATCCTGATTTCCCTTACGTTATTGGCTCCACTTTTACTGGCTCTATAACCTTTTCATCTCACTGAACTGATTATAGTGCTGGAGTTCCGTGACATTTTTCCTCCATTCAGCATTTTCGATTGGTGTAACACAAAGTAAGAGTCCCTGGACACACACTGCTTTCCTTACACAGTTCCTTCTAGCCATACCATTTCATACAAGCAATTGGTGCTGTGATAGGTTGGAAGCAGTCAGCTGGCACGGTCAGTCACCCATTGCCGCTCAGGCTAATACATTCTCATTTGCCCAAGTAGACCATAGGGGATGGGCTGCTGTGGACTCTCATTTAGCATTAAAACATAAAAAATGGTTTAACACTAAATGGAAGGACTCCAGTGCCAGGGGGACTCCAGACACAATGTCTACTTGAATGAGATGAAGCAGTTATGGTGCCTACAACATCTCTTTAAATGATGAGAAAATCCTATGGGTCATAT